TGCATAGGATGAAGTTTGTTAAATGAAGAGGCTCAACGAAAGTCCATGTTCTTGGTGACGCCTTTGAACGTATTAAGCGAAATTTCCTTTCCAACATAAAGACGACAGTGGTAATGGAGGATATTCCTAGTCAATTGATTATTAATTGGGACCAGACAGGAATATCTGTTGTGCCTGGGTCATCCAGCACTATGGCTCCATATGGTTTGAGACACGTAGAAATTGTTGGAATGGGTGATAAGAGACAAATCACGGCTGTAATTGGAGCATCAGTCAGTGGAGAATTTTTACCACCCCAGTTAATTTTTACTGGGAAAACTCCAGCTTGTCACCCAAACGGTGTCACTTTCCCAGCAGACTGGCACATTACCCACACTGAAAACCACAAGGCAAATGAAAGCACAATGAAGGACTACATTACTAAAGTCATTGTGCCATACATTGAGAAGATTAGGTCCCAATTACCACAAAGGCATGTCGCATCTCCACAGCCAGCCTTTGTAAGGTCAGATGTGCCAGTCTACCATTGATCTCTTAATGGATAATAACATTCATTTTGTACATGTGCCACCAAATTGTACCAATTGGCTACAGCCATTGGACATATCAGTGAACAAACCTTGCAAGGATTTCATAAGGAACAAGTTCATTGAGTGGTACTGACTTAAAGTATGTGAAGCCCTTGAAAACACTCAAAACTCCAGCCCTATAATAGACCTAAGGCTTTCTACCATGAAGCCTCTTGAGGCACAATGGCTTAATTTGTTTTACGACTATATGCAAACCAATCCGGATATAATCAAGAATGGGTTCAGATCAGCAGGAATAACAGATGTATGTGTTACATAATTGTATTATACCAATACAAGCATACAAATTTGTACATGTACTTGATCATGATATGCCTTCTGGGAAAATCAGAGTTATTACAGTATACTAATTATTAAAACCTGAAAAGTGTTGTGAAAAATTTAAAACTCTTGACTCTATTTGTAATCAATGGAATGGAGATTGGGGATGGAAGGTGGGCCCAGAAGTTAAATCTGACTCTATAAATTTATGTGAATGTGTTATTATTGTGTTTAAAATGTGTCTGATTATGTATTGTTTGTATTGTATTTGTATGTGATAGTTGTGTATGCATGTAGACTAGATGTGTGTGTACAATATATGTGTGCTTTCTCTCCATCTCTCTCTGTTTCTGAACAAAATCATGCTCTTCGGAGTGATAAGATCAAAAATGATCACGCTCTTTGAAGTGATGATAAGATCAATAATGACGACGCTCTTCGAAGTGATGATAAGATCAATAATGATCATGCTCATCGGAGTGATGATAAGATCAACAATGATCACGCTCTTCAGAGTGATGATAAGATCAATAATGATCACGCTCTTCGGAGTGTTCATAACTGAGACCAGTACAATTAAGTGTATTATAATTAAGTGTATTATAATTTGTATGTTTATTATTGTGTTTGTATGTCTATAATGTGTAGTGTATACTTTGTATGTCTATAATGTGTTTCTATGATAACCAGGATAAGCATTTCGTTTGTTTTTGTGTCTCAAGAAGGAGGAAAGTATAATCATAATAAAGATAATTGTTTTTTATGTATTATATATATATTAGGGTATGCTTTAAAAATTTTAATGGGGAAAATGTATCAAAAACACGGTAAAGTACATGTACACTGTAGTAATGTCCTCATTACAATAGTCAATTTTTATAGGAAATATAAACAATTATATCAAATCTGTTCGAGCGTGACTTCAGTGTTCAGGAGAAGAAGATTATGTTTAGAATAATGCTATGGTGACATTAAAAATCTATTAGGTTAATACTATCATACTATTACAATTATAACTATTACTATTATTACTATTACAATTATAACTATTACTATTATTACTATTATACTAGTGTGACTAATGAAAGTATTAATGGTACCTAGACCTAGGATAGTAGGTATTGTCAATGATGTAGCTCAGTATTTCAAGAAGGAGCTGTAAGTTATCAGCTGTTCTGCCTCGCCCTCTTCTCCAGCTGCCTCTCCAGGACCTAGCTCTTTCCAATCCATAGCCTCCTCATCCATAGCTGCCTCCGTTCTGGCTTCCACCATAGGGATTGCAGCCGCCTTCACTCTGGCTTCCACCGTATGGACAGTAGCGATTGCAGCCCGGACCTCCAGCACCTCGTCCTCCCCTGCCTCATCCCCCACCTACCCCGTCCCCTGCCTCTTCCCCCCTGCCCTGTCCTCTCCTAATTGTCTGGTCACCATCTCCTCTCAGTCCTCTACCATCATGATCCTCATCCTCTTCTCTCCCACCATTATTATTATTCCCACCATCGCCAACCCCTCCCACATCATCCTGAACAGCAAGACCACCTCCTCCATTACCACTTCCTTGGCTTTTATCAGGATCGTTGTTATGATTGACAGGAAGAGGTGGTAGAGACAGTGGATTTTCAAATTGTTGCTGCTGCTGCCGAGGTGTAGGTGGGTTTGAATTCATAGTGACTTGCTATAAAAGTATATAAATTTAATTTATGAAATCAAGAAGATAATGCTTACACCAAAAAGGCCAGCTAGTGCTGAATCTCTGTCACCGTCTTGCCCAATTTCTCCGTCAGCCATTTTATTATCAATTAAAGCGCCAAGAATAATAATAATTATTATTAATGAATGACAATTATTGTAATACAATAATACAATTTTTATAATAGAATTATAATAATGTCGTAATAGAAGTATATATAGAGAATTATAATAATGTCATAATAGAAAGTATAATAATAATTGTCAGACATGAAAATCTCAAATCCTGCTTACAATTATCATTTTCATAACTTTCAATCTATTGTCATAATTATTATAAATGTACATAATTAGTAACTCAAAATTAATGTACAAAACATACTGGTATATATAATGCCCACAATAATTTATTGTTATCATCAATCTAATGAGTGTAACCATATCATCACTCCGAAGAATGTGATCATTATCAATCATATCATCACTCCAAAGAGCGTGATCATTATTGATTGTATCATCACTCCAAAGAGCGTGATCATTATTGATCGTATCATCACTCCAAAGAGCGTGATCATTATCAATCTTATCATCACTCCAAAGAGCGTGATCATTATTGATCGTATCATCACACCGAAGAGCATGACATTATTGATCGTATCATCAATCCGAAGAGCGTGATCATTATTGATCATATCATCACTCCAAAGTGTGAATTTGTTCAGAAAGAGAGAGAGAGACGTACATACATCAAGGGGGTGTCACATGTATATATCCTGTGTTTCACCTGCGACCGCGATCAAAACTGAATCAAGACATCAAAGGCACAATCAGATTGAGATCAAGGGATCAATATTATTCTGGTATTGACATCAAAAGATCGAAGATTA